TGTGGTGTTATATTACATATACAAGAGCACACCGGCTGAGTCAGCAGAGCCTCGCTGTTTAGAATGCAGCTTAACAAAAAAAAGACAGAATTTACAAATGAAGGCGCTGTTTGGAGCCTGTCCTCCACGTGAAAACCCCCTTGTTCAACCCCTGCCGTCGTCATTGCATTTGGCCCCGTTGAGTTGCCCCCCACCCCCCAATTTTTGTTTTGCTCTTTGTCTTCAGTGCACAGGCCAGGGTCCGTTCGTCAGACCCGTGTTTTATCTGGTCAGCACCACTAAAAAATATGCCCCCGTTCTTTTTTGTTGTTGTTGTTGCAAATGAGAAGGGCAGTGACGGACGCGACCGTCGCAAGGTGGCCACTGTTGGGTTTGGACAGGGCCACCTACCTGCCCGACAAGTGTGTTTCATTTGAGGGGCTCATCAGAGAGGCAATGCAAGCATATGTGGCCAAAAGCATTGGAATTTATATTGCCTGCTACACAAGTAGCCGCGAGGTTGTTGTCTTTAAACGCAGTTTATATTCCGCATTTAATGAAAGTGGCTTTCTCCGCATCGTTGTAACCACTGGCTGTAGGAACTGCCAAGCAAACGTGGCTCTTGCTTCATGCCATTTGTCTGCTTCAGGCAATTAATCTTCCTCTTTGTATATTATGAATGTACATCGTGCATTTTATATATGTGTTTTCTCTCTCTCTGGAGGATAACGACAACATCTGTTTTACGTCTTCGTTCATTTCTGCCCCCTCCTAGTTCGTGTGTGTGGGCACCCACCTAAGGCAGGACCTTGTAGGTTCAGTGACTTTCTCCCCTTGTTCCGTATTTCTTTTTAATTTCAAGAGCTTTTTATGTGTGCAAACATGTTGCCAGTGACGACAGTTGCCAGGATACGGCCAAGAGCCCAGCCACTATTCTACAGGCAGTGGCTGGCCTGGTGGGATGGCCTGCAAGGCATCAGTGCTTCAAGCACTCGACACTATTATACCCTCCTCGCAAACCTTACCAAAACAGAAACATTGCGGTAAAATTCTTAAAATACACATATCTACATAATCATTACGTTCATGGGGCGGCATCAAAATCGCGCAGGCTATTACCTTGATTTATGTAAAGTGGGTTGTTTGCTGATTGCAAAAAAAAAAAATTCTGTCGACGTAAATGGAAGCTCATAAAACCTATGCATGTTTATTTTAATATGATACACGCCGTGCCGAATATCGGCACAAAGCAGCCATCAAAAACATGATTTAAAGTGGAGCCAGCTGTGTACACAGTGGGCATAATGGCTGCGTTTGGAGGCACGGGCTTATATTAATGCTGGATTCGCTGGAGCAGAGGCTGAACTGCTACCTCAGGAATTCTTATCTGAGAAAGGACGAGTTGAAGAGATCAGATTGGTGGGAGGAGGCTTGGCATGGGAGAGAGAGGGTGGCTTTTTTTTGGAGCCTGGAGTGGTGGTTGGGCAATGGGTGCAGGGTGAGTGGCTTGTACTCTAAAGCAACTTTGTGTTAAAAAACAAAAAAAAATCACCAGACACAAAAGCACGAGGGGTGCTGCGTTCCTACGGAAAATCTCCCAGGGAACGCAAACGCTCCCCAGTGGAATTCCTTTGACACGAGCTGACGGCAACATTACCAGCGACAGGAGACAAATGTGGTAACCTTTAATTCTGCCAAGAACGAGGATTGAGAAGACACCAGGGTGCAGTAATGAAGAGCAGGGGAGGCCATGCGGGAGTGTATACGGCACCCGCGACCCGCGAACATATATCCGTGGTTGTGCACCAGCCCGGCCATGTCGATTGGAGATATTTGAGCCGCGTGCCAACTTCACCCTCCTTAGGATTCCACTTGGGAACCACCGTGCACAGTTGTGTCCAACAGGCTATCGTGTGTGATGGGAAAGCATGCCATGCCCTGGCTTTGTCAAGATAAGAATATTTTATGCATTTATTTTATCATCTGGCAGTATATATACATACATGTGTTTTTTTTAGATATTAATTATATAAAATGATAATTTTCAGTCGCTTTGTCAATCCATTGCTCTGGATGCAGGCACTCCCCCATGATGTGTTGGTCTTGGGGGTCATTTGCCAGGACAGGTTCAGATAGCACTCACCACTCATGTGTCCCATAGCCGGGAGTGAAACTCAGGTGACCGGATTTGTAGGGCAGCGCGCTATACCACTGCGTACTGCTCCACCACCAACGTACTGCTGATTCATAGTTTTTGACCCCAAACAAACATCTTAATACACTTCGTATTCTCAGCCGTGAACTACTCTGCTACGTATAATATATGCAAAGTCAGTATGTAAAGAAATCCAGCGCATGCTGCCCTAAGATTTTTTTTATCTTATCCTTTAGTTTTAAACAAACATATAGATGTCAGATACCTAGAGATTTCACACAAACATTCTTTATCAGTCACTATTGCTCCGATTGTAAACCGACAACGCTGTGCCAAGCCAGAGCTGCCGTAAAATTGCGCGCTGCAGGGGTCTGCGGCAGGCATTCTACTGCCGGCTCCGTTCGGTGTTTCCAGGGACGAGCAGAAACTTAAAACGGTTTGGATAAACCTCCGTTATAGTCACTCAAAACTCGTTCGTTGCCCCATCGGCTTGGCCAGTAACACACATCTGTACCGAGCAGGACAACAGCAATGAAACTTTTAATTAGCCTCTGATAAAAGTGTGCACTGAGTGTGCCAACCATAAGACAAACCGGGCAGCTGGGACGCTTAAGCTGCGTGTAGCGTGGCGATATTAAAAATCTCGGTGTGTTCTTTGGCACGGGAATAAACTTATGCGACCTGTCCTTTTTTTTTTACAAAAGTCTGGAATGTGTCTGATCATATTTCTGTTTCACAAACGAGGGAGTGTCAAACTGTTGTATGGAGAAAAAACAAGCGATAACTCCGAGAGCTGGCTTCACCCAGATTTTAAGCAGAAACATTCTTCCCTCTGTGTGTCATTCTTTACAAAACATTAACCAAACATATTAACCCAACGCATTGGTGCTTATGGCATCAGGAAGGCGAAATCGGCAGCTACAGTCAATGATCCAGCTAAAAGCAAGGGGGAATTTTATCAGGGCAATTTTGAAAATTCCTTCAACCGATTTGAATTTTACTCTACATGTAATTTTCAGTGTGCAGCATGTAGTGCGGTGTAATGTTCAAGATCTGTCAACTGCACATTGTACACAGGACTTTAACTTGGCATTCTCTCGGATCAATTTTGGTGCTCACGTAAGATCTGAAATGTATACTCACTGTCGTAATGTGCCAAAAGAAAAAAAAGGTTTTCAATCAGTGCACATTACCTGTTATGATATATGGATCAGAAACATAGACACTGGCAATGAAAATGGAAATGCTTGGAAATATACTGAGAGCCAGAATAAGAAACACATGAATCAGAGGGTAAACACATGTTACAAGTATCATCTTGAAGTCTGAAGGTTTGGGCAAGACATTCTTAGAAGGGATGATGGCCAGTGGTTGAGACTAACACGAAGAGTGGCAACCACAGGAGGGAATAGGCCTGAGAGGCACGTCCACCGCAGTGGTAAAGTAATGAAATCAGCTCTTGCCCAGGGCCTAGATGGATTGTTGCATCACAGAACTGTGAGAGATGGTGATGGGTTGGTGAGGCCTTCATCCGTCGGTGGATAGATCATGGCCGATGCCGACGATTTGGCCTGACATTTGCAGTCAATCCAATTGGATTAATAATCCACGTGCTGAACAGGCTTTCTTGCTATCGCATGCTGCATTCCGAGTAACATGATTGCAGCCGTGTGTTTGTGTTGGCGGCCACTTTCAACCTAGCGTTATAAGGTGCCAGGCAACCCTGGTATAGTAAAAGGTGTCATGGCTGTAGGCTGTCCAAGCACACCCAACCAGATGCAGCTGGATGTTGTCATTTACTTTGTTTTGCTTTCTTTGGTTTCTAGAAGCCTTGTGTCACCCACTGTCCTTCACGCCTTCACACATAGCACATACGTGGACACACACACATGCACTCTGAGCAAGTTCTCTACCGTGTTTTCGAATTACAACACCACAAACCCTCTACCCGTTTGTGTGTGTCTCTATGATTGTAAACAATTTATTTTATATTACCAGGTATGTATGTAAGTTGCAAAAATCAAGCCTTGTTGATACTATGCTACACGCCACCCTGTTGGCTATGTCATGACTCAATAGTGGTCAGATGTGTCGTAGAGCCCTGATATGAAAATTGCAGGACCTGATAATATTTTTGCATGTGGTGATCAAACGGCATATTCTGGTAGAGTATGGTTCTTAGGCTCTTTAGATGAGTAGAACACCAAATCCTGGAGTCGACGCGACTGCCACCTCTCACAGTCTTACGATGCAACAATATATCCAGCACCTGCACACGATCTGATTTAATTGCTCCAATACAACGGTATGTTACCTCTTTTACATACACCATTTAATTTGATGTGCTTGTGCTTTGTTTCTGACCGTTAAATACCTCATTCGTTGTGCAACATTCCTTAAGGACCCTGCTCTATTCCTTCTCTGCAATGTTGATGTGTTTTTTATCTTTTGTTTTTGTTGCCGCTGCTGCTGTGCTCCCACAGCACCGCGGATCTCCCATGTAGAATAGCCGGGCAACTGGCTGATCGGTACCATCCTCCATGTAACAAATAAAATCAACTCAAATTATATGGCTACCACTGTCATTAGTCTCAACTACCAGCCATCGTTCCTTGCATCGACCTGTCCTGCCCAAACCCACTTCCTTTAGAACAAATGTTGAGAGGTGCGCAAAAGGAGCATGGATATGTGCTTGCTTGGAATTGCCCTAAGGAAGAGGAACACGTGGATTTGTGAAACATACAGAAGTTAGAGACATCCTAATGGCCGCTAACAGAGAGATTTCTTAAGCACGCATTTGATTTACGAGCGGTAGTGGCAGTGGATTGTGTTGTAATATAGCTAATCCCGCAACCCTTCCGTGCAGATCCTCACATCAAAGTCTGCGGCAAGAGAGACAACATCAGGGACGCCAAGGAGAAGATAATGGCAGTGCTCGACACCAAGGTATGCCCCTGGCTCCACAACATCAGCCTCTCTCCGTGCAGACACAGGGCAGGAATAGACGTGGCGTGACATTTTGTCTCCCGACGTCTCATCACAACACCGAGAGAGCGCACACATTATTCACGAGCACCTTCGTGGTAGGACCTCTGCTCTGCAGGGGTGGATGTTCTCATAGCGAGAAATGTTATGAAAAGTTTGAAGCAAATATTCTTATATGTTCAAAATAATTCCCCCAAAATCATTCATATACCTACAATATTGCTGCAAGAATACAAGAATGTGTGGAGAGCCTTACAATAACAATCCCTACCCGCCTTCATGTGCTCAGCATTATTCGGAAAAAACGGTTCCTATAAATTTACTCTGACAACGTAAAAGTGTAAGGAGCGTCGAGGTTAGTCGATTGCTTGAATGTGGGTGTTTGGACCTACAATGCCACGACTTCACCCCTGCAGCCTATGGTAGGAGCAGGCCTTGGCACAATCTAGGAGAGAGGTCCCTCCACCTCCAAGATAATAATAATAATGATAACTCACATTTTAACCGCAACTTTAATCGAAAAGCCACCCGAAGGCACCTTTAGTGAAACACACAAATCCTTTATGCCTCACCCAGGCACTGCATTCGATGAGCACACACGCTTCACATGCTCACACTGAGTTTGAAAAGTCTTTTTTTTTTTAAAGAGCCACAGTTTGAAGACTGACTTTAAAATTGACAGTGAATTCAAAAACAGACATTCGAATGGAAGATGGTTCTATATAATGTTAGATAAAATTTGACAAATGCTCTGTCTCCAACACTGACCAAATGCGTTGGCAGGACTGCCAGGCGATAAGAGTTCTCAGATTGCTTTTTCCCAAGATGGCTTGCACGGTGTGAAGAGATAAACATTTTAACGCTTGGCACCCACATAATCCGGTAATATGGCCAGGTGGCTCAGTCGTAGAGCGAGTGGCTCGCAATTGGATGGATGCGAGTTCAAATCCAGGTTTGTCGGTTGACAGCCCATCATCCCTCGAGGGTGGATAAAATTACTACCATTCTGTACGGAAGTCTACAGTGGTTGGTCCTTTGGATGGACTCACCCCTAATAGATGTTTATTTGGGTTAGATTGTGTAAATATAAATGTGTCGTTAAACCCACCACCACCTGACACAGCCAATTAGTAATGTTTGTCACGTTAAAAAAAACATGCCAATTCGTTACTAGTACAGCACACCGGTGTGTTGGAGAGTAAAGCCATAACATTTACCATTTGAGTACAACGTTTTGCCAGTAATTACAACTAGCATCATCAGGAGACAGACAGATTCGTGGAGAAATCCTCCTGTTTTGTCCTTAAATAGAGGGATGAGTGTTATGTCGTCACTTGTGAGCCAAAAAAATGATCTATTAAAGATAATATTGGTCGCAAAAGCCTATGTGTTAAACAGACAACCTTGCTGCAGGAACGTAGAATGTCCACCACTGGCTCAGGGCTGTAAACTCGAGAAGAGGAGCCACGCCTCAATTGTCAATGTTCATCTAAGCAGAAAAATCACATGCAGGCTTTCGCGACCAATATTATTCATATTAAAGGTTTTTGGGTCAGATCGCGTTATTTATAAATGCGTCGTAACCCTCCACCACCCGACACGGCCAAACAGTAAAAAATGTGTCACGCAAGAGGAGAGCCTCACTATTCTGGAAAATTGCCCGATGAAGCTGGATGTAATTACCAGCGAAATGTCGTACTCAAATTTTAAATGATGTTGATTCACTCTTCAACACACCGGTGAGCTAAAGCAGTGAATTATTTGTTCTTTGTAAACGTGACACATTTTTTACTGTTTGGCCGTGTCGGGTGGTGGAGGGTTACGACACATTTATAAATAACGCGATCTAAACCCAAAAACCTTTATTATGCAGACAAATCACGTTGACGTGTTCACCCTGACAGAGCAACCGGGTGACTCTGAAGATGGACGTGTCCCACACGGAGCACTCGCACGTCATCGGCAAAGGTGGCGCCAACATTCAGCGCGTCATGGCCAACACGGGCTGTCACATCCACTTTCCTGACTCCAACCGCGGCAGCCAGGCCGAGAAGAGCAACCAGGTCGGCCCCCGTGACGCAGCCTTACTTGCACGCATAATTGTTCAGCGATGCTGCTGCGTTGGCAGTGGTGCACGAGCGCACGCACAACAAACAAAAACACTCGATGCATCCATCAACAACACTGGTGTGGCCTTATAAGGAAAAATGCATAAACGTTTGTTCAGCGCTGAACAGGGTGACTAATGATACGATGCGCTTTTGTCTGTCGTGCATTCTGCTTCAGCTCTCACCTCCTATGTATGTTACAAAAGGCTGAAGGAAAACTTGCCACTGGACATTGGACCGATTGATGTAAATTAGTCCCCCCTCCTGTGGTTGGGAAGTTGGGATTGTGGTCTGGGATGTGTAGTAGGCCTCATGGACTCATTGCCTTGTTGTGATCACATTTTTTTGCTGATTTGTGCTTTTTGTTTTTGTGACCTTTCCGGATTTTTTTATTTTTTTTATTTTGCTTGGTAGTAGGATTATTCTTTGGTTTTTTCGGTAAAGTCACGTATAAAAATAAAATAATATAATTAAATAATAGCATACGACGTTTCGATTGCAACACAAGCAATCATCATCAGGTATAATAAAATAGCGACATAGAATATAACCAGAAAACTATAGACAGACATATAAGCAGACAGTTTTCTGGTTATATTCTATGTCGCTATTTTATTATACCTGATGATGATTGCTTGTGTTGCAATCGAAACGTCGTATGCTATTATTTAATTATATTATTTTATTTTTATACGTGACTTTACCGAAAAAAACAAAGAATAATTCCTGCAGTCACGAAAGCTCCAAAATTAAGAATGGTAGTAGGATCTTCATTTGCTTGGTAGTGGCTGTGTATGACATATGGTCCTTTTGTATAATCAATGTACAGCGTTATGGGATGCTGTTAGTGTGAATGACGCAATATAAAATGAAAGTGTTGTTATTATTACGGGTGTAAAATATTTAACCAACATTTGTAGGACTATAGGAATTTAGAAGGGGAGTTGAGCCTACAGCAGGTGGGGGTGGTTCAGCTCCCTATAGCCCCCTACAGCCCCATACAACCCCCTACAGCCCGCCACCCCCAATGCTAGGGGGTCTGAACCAGGTGCACGAGAGTGGGGTGGAGAGGAGAGGACATGGCCCGGAGGGGCAGGAGTCCAAATGGCACAGGACAAAAAGGTTCTAAGACATTTACAATCACATTTTTCTAAATGTTATAATTTACTACGAATGTCTGGCAGTGTCTAGAGTAGCGGACGATGAGTATTCGCTGATGTTCTGAACAGCTGGGCACCCTCCTTCCAAAGAGAGTATCCATTCTCAAGGCTGCAGCGCAGCATTAAGTGTGTTTCCAAGTCATTTTATTTTAATGGAAATATTCTTGAAAGATGCCCTTGCACTGGTATACGTAGTGTTTTCAAGTATAAGCGAGTGGCATAGACACTGGGAAGACTTAGGGGTTGGGAAGTGACCTTACGAGGACTGATTAGGACTTTCAAATGCCTGTGGCGAGCCACATTAATGCACACCTTAGTGTTACCCAGTAATAAGGCAAATAATAATCAGGGCTCACCTCTGCAGACTTGAGATGCCAGGTAGAAAATATTCTACTCTAGTAACCGATTAGTTTGACCAATGTACTTGCAATACATATCGTCTGGCACATTCCAAATGATGTAGGCCTCACGTTGCCGTGGGCTAGATGACATCAAGTCGCGGGCTACGTCCGACCCGTGAGCCAAAGCTTTCCCACCCCCCCGGCGGTAATGGGTAAATGGTCGAGGGACAGTCCTGGATCTGCCTGATCATGGTGCTACTGGTGGAAGAGGTATCCTGTACCATTCTACAGGCTATTTTATCTTACCCTTCCATGCTGACCAGATGCTTTGAGAAAGGGCAAGTGAGTTAATTAATTGAAAAACATTCTAATTGGTTAAAAAACCAGCCAGCCTATGCTTAAAACCGGCTAAATAAATGAAATTGTAAAAAAATACTGGGGCCTAGTTTTCAAATCGTCTCTACGCAGCTCGGCCGCATTAGCAATCGGAGGGCCTCCTTTCACAGAGAGCACGGAGGTGAATTACGGCACGGCAAACACATGCTAGCATGGGCTTTACAGCGATGCTCTCCGGCTCTCAAGAAGCCGTCCCAGCATCAGAGTTCCCAGGCGGAGTTAAGCCGCGGGCGAGCCGTGCGGGCAAACTCATTCTACTTTAATGGGTGCGACGAATACCATTATACCTGTGTGAATGGGCGGCCTTTTAATAGCGCCCTAAGCCAGGAGCCCGGCTGCCAGCCAGCACAGCCCATAGCAACACTTATGCCAGCAACGCTTTCAGCGCGCCACGAGAGCACTGCCCGCTCGTACGTTATGTCACAGCGTGCTCCCAACACAGATTACGCACACTCACAGACACGCTCGCATGCACACACAAAGGAAAAATAAAACATCATCCGTATAGCCTTTAACAGACTACCGGGGTAAGTAATGTTTGCGAGCACCTATTAAGGCTAGCACGGCTTACGAAGGGGCGGTGTGTCCGAAACCATGCCCGGTCATTTTTGTATCACTAGTGCTGATGTTTACACAATGCATCAGGTACTCATTTAAAGCAGAGTTGAACTAGGGGAGGCCTAGGCACATTTCTGATATCACTAATCATGCTCTTATCCATGGCCAAGAATTCAACTCAGGTCTCCTAATTGGTAGCAGTGCGTACTTACCACTACGCCAACGCTCCCCACATGCAGGCACAGACACTCGCACAAATACGCGCTATGCAAGTGTGAGCGCATTTGTGCCCTTCACTAGAGCAGAGATGTGTCGCAGCATTTTATTGTGCCGTTCTTTATTGCGCCCAATTTTGTTTGCACGTGCAGTAAAATGGATTTCAACACATCGTGTGATATAAATGGTAGACCTGGGATTGATGTGTTTTCATTTCTGTTTTGACGAACATATTTACGTGCCAATCATAAAACGTGTCATCGTTGTTCTCACGCATATTTTCATGAGCAGTGAACAATGCTCAGATGAGGCATTCTGAAAAATGTATGTGAAGATGATACATTCCATTCCCATATCAACTTGCATTTAAAGAATCTGTGCAGAGATTATGGAACTTACACCCCTTTCATGTTTCATGTGAAAAGAAAAACATTCCTCATCCTGTCACAATAACACGAACACCAACAACATATTTACGCAAGGATTCTAAGTCAGAGACCATCATCTAAATGAATCCTCAAAAAAACTCCGGTCCTGCATGTTCAGCAGATGCTGTCTTTATTTGAGGCTGCATCAACTCACATTTATTTTGCCAGACACTGATGGGCAGCGCATGAAAGCCTGGCCGTACGCTCATCGCGCCCATGTGCCTGGTGCGCTGGAGATAAGACACGCACACACAAGCTGGTGCTGCCAGCGATTTCCTCAGCAAAAATGTCCCGTATATTTCCCGTGCGAATCACTCAGGGATGTGTAAAGCAGATGACCAGCATGGAAGAGTGAACACCAACGAACTGGACTCATCTAACGTGTTGGAACGTGTGTGTGTGTGTGTGTGCGAGTATGTGCGCGCGTGTGGTGTGGGAGCAGTAGTGCAGCGGTTAGCACGCTGCACTACGAACCTAGTGACCTGAGTTCGATTCCCGCTCATGGCCAACACCATTGACGAATATCTGACACGTTCCTGGGCCTCCCCTCGTCTGATGTACTGGCTTTCATAAGTGCTCGCTAACAGCATTCGCTACCACAGTCTGTTAAGGTTGTACGGGGGATCTTTGTCTTCGGTGTGGCTGGCAGGTTTCCATTGCGGGGTTGCCTGGAGGAGTGGAGGAGGCGCGCGCCTTTATCCGGGTGAGGCCATCACCTTGGCCATAACAGCACGCAATGACACATCACTCACAGACATGCACGCATTGAGCTATATTATTATTATTATTCACTAACCTGCTATATATTACTGTAGTGTATATAATTACTCTCACTGACACGGAGTAACAGGCCACCTGCTTACACTTTATTTATCCTACTCTCGCACCAGTTGTAGGCACATCTATGACTGCCTCTCACTGTCATCACACACACATACCGCTTCCTCCTCCTACCCGCTCTCATCTACCCCGCACCGCACCTACTCTCTCCTATCTCGCCGCTGCCCCCTGCTCTCACCCACGCTGCGCCGTACCCACTCACCCGTCTGTCCCGGGCGGGGGGTTCAACCAACACCCGCCCGGCGACGGCGTAAGGGGCGAGGTCCCGTTGACGGCCTGAGCGGCAGCGGCGAGACGTCTCCTCTCTTGGACCCCGAACACCTCTCATTACTCACGCACACTCCCGATTATATACCCCTCCTCATTTCGAGTCCTTACGTGCCCCAACGCTCACACCTGTTCACCCCCAATTGCACCCTCTCAACTGCGCTTCTCCCCTTAATTGCTGCCGCCTCCGCGGCGTCTACTCCGTGCCCCAACGCGCACACCTGTTTAACCCCAAATGCACCCTATTACGCTCACTGCGTACATCCCTTCTCTACATTATCAACAACCCGCACTGACCAGCATGGTGATATATAGTCAAACAACGTCCCCCGTCTTTGTTCGATGGTTATCAAAATGCCGCTGTGAGGGTGACCAGAGTTCACGTGATGGTGTAAAGAGTGGTGTCATAAGCCGCATAGACATTAATATCAACCTCCCTTCGCATTGACTCTCCATGTCAGGGATACACCCTGAAAGATGATACGACTGAACTGCTTTCAGTCATTCCATTGTGTCCTTCTAGCACTTGACAACACCCCCCAACCATTATAGGCATTTTGATACTTGTAGCTGGAGCATGCTAAATTAAGTGGAAACAAAAAAAGCATTTTCATCATAGACTTTGTCTTTTGTGGAGTAAAATTCAGACTCAGCTGGGACTTCTGCATTATCTATCTCAAAGTTGGATGCAAAGCCAGGATCTCAGTGGTGCTAGTTGGTAAAGGTGGACATAAGATACAAGTACAGCAAGTAGATGATGAACTCCATCTGTGTGCAGCTTGTAGTGTTAATCCTCACTTGTGTGGAAACGGTTATTGATTGAATTGACAAATATCCAAAAGCAGGATCCTCCAAAGACAGTCTTGAGACTCAGCGAGGGAAACTTGTATAATTATGTTTTAAGATTCATCAGAAGTGCCTATTTCGCGAACTAAGACACCTTTGCAACATAGATGGCAATCTGGAAAAGGAAAAAAACATGAACAGTCCTGACATGGCCATTACAATCCCGCTGAGCTACCTGGTTATACCTTTCACAATATCGTATTCATAATCGATGCCTGCCACATTTAACTCGACCTGGCAACCTCTAGATTGTAAGTCCAGTGTGCTCACCATTACACCACAGCAGTATCTTCCTGGCATGGCAGTTGAAACAATCCTGCAGGTTTATTAAATCACCCCAACCTCCATCCATCCAGCAGTATAAATGGATTCACCGCAGGAAGACGATCAGTAGGTCGCACTGGCAAAGTAGGGTTGCCCCCATCTCTTCCAAGAAGTCTGTCCAGCATGGAAGAGTAGGCCAAATACCCTCTCGAGGAGCTCTCCAGAGCTCTTTCTTGCGGAGGCCATTCGACCAGCAGTGGCACGAGCAGGCGACTGCAGGGCTGCACCATTACCTTTTTACACGCTTTTATTTAACTCACTCCGTCTGTTGTCGTATCCTCAAAAAATATTGTAACTCAATTTTTACCCACTTCCCAATATGCTATCGACTGCAAACTTGGTATACTTACGTCATATACTGATGACAAGACTATATTCTATCATTAAAAATATTTTTTTAATATATATTTTACACGCTTTTATCTAAATACAACTCATCCGTGCGCCCATCCACCCACCCACCCGCAGGAGCTGCTGCCACTGGCGCTGATGTTCGAGGTGCCTATGACAGGGTTCCTGCAGCCCGTGTCGGAGGCCAGCTCGCCTGCCGTCGCTCACATCGCGCAGCGCCACGGCCTCAACGTGGCCTTCAAGCAGCGCGCGCGCCTCTACGGCACTGTGTGCGTGGCGCGCGGGTCCAACGTCAGCACCACCAAGGTACAGCCGCTGACCACGGTGGTGTGGCCATTGAGTGTGCAGGTGGTGCAACTGCACAGGGGCCCAAGGGCTGGGGAGTGAGCAGCCCAGTGTTAATATTCAACCTTGATATTGATTGCCAAATTGTTAGCCTCTTGATCCTTCTCAGGCCAGTACCGTGTTGCCCACTGGCAGGTACCCGCGTCGGCTCTCGCTTTGCTCCTGCTGCACTATAAACACAGGCTCAGTGCATCAGCACGCACGATGCTTCCCATGCAACATGTGTGCATTAGCGGTCGTGTAGATATCGAATGTGCAGGCAGTGCAATTGCACCGGAGACCCAGAAGGCATTTAATTATGTTTCTGCAAATGTGTTTAATTATGGTCATGCTGCTGCTGCTGATAATGATGAGTATGCTTGATGCTAATAATAATGATGTTGATGACGCTGTTATTTCTACCTTTTTCCAGTTACTGTTTCTCAGCAGCACGTTTCTCATGCTGCTGTGCTGCTGAGGATGACGATGGGTTGTTTTAATGCCGCAGGAGGGTGTGGCGATGCTCATCGAGCACCTCACTGGCAGCCCTGGAGCCACTTTCCCTGTGAGCTCCCAGCTGGACGTCGCCCCGCAGCACCACCAGTTCATGATGGGACGTAATGGCCTCAACGTCAAGCGCATCGTGCACCGGACTGGTGCGCAGATCCAGTTCCCGGAGCCCGGTGGCCCGCACAAGGCCATACACATCCACGGCAACATGGAGGCCGTGTGCCTGGCCCGAACGTGCCTGCTGGTGAGTGTGCACCAGCAGCTGGGGCATTCATACAGCCCCGATTAGCACTGGTTGGCTACGTACGGTGAGAAAGAAGCTCAACACACACACCGCGCCACCGCAACGCATCCCTCATCGCTGGCCCAACAGGGCATCCCATCGCGAGTCCAACACCGTCACATTTAAAGGAAGATACGGTCCAGGAAGCACACCAAAGTTTTTTTAATCAGTGTAATATGACCTGCTTTGTCAATTTTAAAGAGGCAAGGAGAGAACGTTTGAGTGCTTTTGGGGAATTTAATTTGAGAATGAAAGCAATGGGATGAGTGCGAATAATGGAGCAGAGTTTTCAATAAATGCACCTGCTGTGACATGGATCGGACACACGGACACTGACGATGACAATGGAACAAAAGTTGAAGAGTGCGCAAAGAACCAACATGAGGTGCATGCTTGGAATGACACTAAGATATAGAGAGAGGAACACATGGATTAGAGAACATATTTCATTGTAAAGACACGATATTGACAATTAAGGAACGTAAATGGGCTTGGGAAGGCCACCTTGCGATAAGGGATGATGGTTGGGGATTGAGGCTAATGACGGAGTAAAAGCCAAAGTAGGAAACATTCAGCGAGAGCTTGACTAGCAAGGAGATCGTCTCGAGTGCAGGAGCTACGTGAATTGTTGCATCGCAAAACTGAGAAATGGTAATGGTGCGTAAATCATGAATGAAGATGTTGATTTTGACTTTAAACTTTCGTGACTGCAGGAATTCATATTCTTGTTTTTTTCGGTAAAGTCACATTGATAGAAAATAAAAATAATAAAATAATAAAATAACTTGCTAAATAATAAAAGCGTGGGTTTTTTGCTTTTATTATTTTAAATTAATTTAAAATAAAAAAATAATCCATCTATATGACTTTACCGAAAGAACCAAGAATATAAAGATGTTAATGATGATGATAACCCAAGAAAACTAACATCTCTTATCTTATGAGATCTCTTTTATCAGTGGCAAAATATAGTAGTAGGTTTTTACCCTTTTAAACTGGTACAAAACTGACACCTTTATTCAAGGCATCATGTTTGCAATAACCACAACACAAGTAGTTTGCTTTTTTGACTACTTGTGTTGTGGTTATTGCAAACATGATGCCTTGAATAAAGGTGTCAGTTTTGTACCAGTTTAAAAGGGTAAAAACCTACTACTATATTTTGCCACTGGTAAAACAGATCTCATAGTGTAAATGCTTACCCCGAGCTCTCAATACTCTGATATTGCACTGTGTTTGAGTTGGACGCCTTCTGGTGTCATCTGGTCCAACACCAATGGGGACTAGGCTCTAAAGAAAGCCGTCTCGGGTGTGGACCAATCAACTTCAAGGAGAGTGCATATTATTATCATTATCAGAGTTGCTTCTTTTTGTTTGCTTGTTTGACTACTTGTGTTGTGGTTATTGCAAACATGATGCCCTGAATAAAGGTGTCAGTTTTGTACCAGTTTAAAAGGGTAAAAACCTACTACTATCTCTTATCTTGTAGATATATGCCTAGGCTCCGTGTGTTGACATGCGGTCATATTGTCAGCACTCTCTGAATCTCAAGTAAAGTTGTGAATTGTAATTTTTTCATCCCGGGCTGATTGACACAAATTTGAAGCTTCTTTAGTAAAATACTTTCAATCAAATCACGCTCTGGTGCAATCCAGGGATGTCGCTGTTGCATCAGTCCTGGGTTTTTGTTTGCATGCAGCATTACTGCAATTATACCACTTAATGAAGCTTCAAACTTATGTAGGAAAGCCCATGGTGCACACCTTCCACTAGTTTGTATCTTCAATAAAAGAGATGAGTTGCCTCTCAAGTTAAAAATCAATGATAGATGTGCACTCGCACAGCATATCTGGAACAAATTCAGGGTGACTTTGTGCCATCTCGCTTAGTGTCTAAAACCAGAGGTCCTCGGCTGTCAATCACAGCATTTCTCCCAGTAGAGAGAAAGGAGGAATGACATCAGAAACAATATAGAAAGCACACACTGCTCAATCTACGTTTAATAATGACATTATGACAACCTGTAATACGCACAGCTTCTCAAATGGACTAAAAGTTTGAGTGTGACTTGGAGGCAAGGAGACCAACTTAGCTTCATTTAGAAGGCTCATGGAGACACGTGCATCTTAGTTGTTTTTTGAAGGTGGAAGCTGACTCAATGCTGTGTATGTGATGGGGGATAGAATTCCAGATGGTATTTGAATAGGGGTGGGAATATGAATATGGGTGGACAGGATTTTTCAGAAACTAGTACAGAAGAATCTGGCGAGTGCATAAAATAACTTCTTAAATGCAAACATGGCAATCAACTCACCTGAGTGGGGTGGAAGTAGGAATTGTTACCTGCCTGATAAACAAACAATGATGTAGGATGAGGCTTAATTACAACAAAATGAACTTATACCATTTGTAGTTATATAGCATCTAAATGCGACCATAGCACAAGATGCTATTAAAATGAAGTGTACAAAAATAAAATCTATACATTTTTTCAATAATACTTCCACACAAAGAATATATCAATATCATAAGCATTATCCAAATGGTCCACGGCTGAAGGACCATTGCCCAAAACCGAATCTACTTCCACAACAAACCCCCCCAACATATTCGCCATCGTCATCATCGGCCATGATTAATTGACAGCTGATTTATAACCAACACTGCTATATATACATATCTTCAAATAGAGGCAATTGGCTGAAATTTCCAGCTGTAGCAGGTTGGTGAATTTACCTGTCTCATTCCTTTTCTCCATGGCGCTATGTCATCTGCCTCCCTCTTAAGAGGGCGGTTCATTCTGTTCTGCAAAGTCATGCCCTCCTCAAGACACCTAGGTTTGTTTTTCAGCAATGACAGGCAGTGCTACAGCAGCAAGTACCACGTGTGCAGGTGGCTGTCACCCAAAATCCCAACAAAATCAATGCCACTTCCTCCCTTCTCTAAGGAGATGTTCACCAACAATGGTGAGACCTGAATTTATATCCATGGATGTACTTGGTCATTTCTCGCAGCGAAAGATTTTCCTTGTCTGAATTATAATTTTTACAAAACTCATCAGAATCAACACACGTCCGTTACATTTTGAGAAACATTTCATGACGATAAATTCCACCCCATAGTTTTTTTGTGAGTCGTGCTGCACGGATGAATTCAGGTCCTGAAGAAGCTTCTCAGAACGTGGAGCGAAAAGTTGGACATCATGACGAGCAATGCACAGTACAATCTGAAAACACATCAGAGAGCTGAACTAAATTCCACTCACAGACTGAATTTCACAGTGGTAAGTTGAGCCATCAGTTTGTCTTGCAGGCAGCTCTCATCTTCCCACTGGTTTATGTCAAAGTAAACCAGCTGAATGAAATTGACGCATAAGCCCTGTGGCTGGTTGCATAACGCTCCTTGAAATGTGATTTACCATTGTTTTCCAATTAAAACAATCAAGGGCAACCACCCCTGTATGCAATCATCCACTGGCCTTTAGGTATTGAGGTGGGAAGCCACTGGCATATTGATTTAGATATACAGGCAACCCTCAATATCAGGAACAGAAGCGTTCCTGAAAAACTGTTCGTAAAGCGGGATTCTGTATATCAAACCTATTTTCAACTGACTTCTGTTTTTATAATTGGAGATGCATTCCTACGGAAACCCCAAGATGTAATAATATCACAATTAGAATGCAGAAAACATTTTCTAAGCACATTTAATAGAAAATCTATACTTTTAGGATAAAATTCTCAAAATAAGTTGCAAAATAAAATACTGTTCAGTACTTACCAGAAACGGTGATGAAATGCATGCTCAGACTGTAAATTGTTCGATTTTCTCTAAAAAAATAGATAATTTAGAGTTTAAAAGTTCTGTAAACTGCAAATTTAACATAACATATATCTAATTCCTTCCCGAATTTATAAGTTAGATTTTCACGAAATTACGTATATTGAAATTATATACAATGAGGAATGACTGTATCGTATTTTAATTCAAAGAGCACCAACTAGTCAAGTAATTAGCCTGGAATATCTGTCTTCTGCTAATCAGGCAAATGTAAAAAGCTCCCGTAAATGTGGATAAAATGTATCGCAGCCACTGATAGCATAGTCCGGCAACATCACAAAATGCATAATTTCCTGATGAGATATTAAATAGTTCCTGCCTCGGGATGTTATTTTTGAAAAAAAAAAAATTGAGAGCTCTGGTCAAGTCCATGGGCCATTTCATGGCCTGGTAGGCATCAAATGCAATATTTATCGTCACTAAATTGCATCGTGAACCTTGGGCTCACGGGCGAACAGGGCAATAACGACGACCATTTTGGGAATATATTCGATTGGTTTGGTCCACTGGCCATCAGCCAGAGTTAACCCCTTGCTCTCTACTGTGACTGCCGCTTGAAAAATTGCTCCCACAAACCCAAACAGAAAATGTAAACAAAACACCCACGTGCACTCACAATTGGTAGGAAGGTACAAACTCGCATCATGCCTCACATGCATGTCACGTGACCACCATATTGCATTTACAATGCTCTCAACCTTGTTAAAAAAAACTAGTCGAAACCATTAAAAGGAACTCGGACTATTGAGAGAGAAAAAGGCAGCAGATGGGGTGTGCAAGAAATGTATGTTGGTACTTGGCCTGAAAAATCCAATCAAAGGGACATCACATGCAATGATTCCGTAGGGACAAAAACATCACCTCCGATATCGAGTGAAAATTCTGTGAACAAAAAAAATGTATGCGGGTGCCAGAAGAAGTGAATGTTTTTTGTGTGCCTGCAGATAAGGTCCTGTTTAATCTATCTTGAATCTATAACAGTGTGCCACGTAGCCCCGTGCCATCACCTAGTTCATGATCCAGAGCGTTCTACCACAGTGGTGTATTCCATCAGAGACTCCAAGATGTCTGGATAAACGCAACACTTTAATTCTGACGAGTGCATAAAAAGCAGAAACGCACATTCATTGCCATAGACGTCACTCAGCCAGGCAGCATGGGCTCAAAGATTCCGTTTTCACAGCCACTATGCTGTAGGCATTTACTAAAGTACATCATCCACTCAAAAACGACATTAAAGACAATGCAGCACATGCAAGTGAAGACTATCTCATGCCCCAGTGGTTCATGTTGGCAAATGTATAAATTTCCTATAATGCTAAAGCATCCGTTCACCCTTCACCTGCGGGATCGAGAATCCTTTTCATAGATATGTAACATCTCATCGTCCCTGTCGAGTTCTCTTGAAAGGCAATAAAGATGCTCAGAATATAGCAGACAGAGGAACGAACATCCAAACAAATGAGAGAGCGAGTTAAGGAAAGAATGTGGCTGTGCCCAGGGCTTAGCATCTGCTGCGTCTATCCGGGTTGGCAACCAAGAACATACGGGCACAGCACACCCAGTAAACCACTCGCCATGGCTGTGACTGTTAGTCACGTGCTGCCAATTCCAGTCTACGAGTGACTCAGAAAGAGATTCGGTGAGAAATTAAGTCCCGGCTGTGCCCTCCTCTGTCGTCGCGACGGCGCAGGGCTGCCTGCCGCTGGTGCTCATGTTCGACATGAAGGAGGACGCGGAGATCTCGCCGCACAACATGGCGCAGCTGATGGAGCACCTTGACGTCTTCATCAGCATCAAACCCAAGCCCAAGCAACCGAGCAAGGCGAGTGTCCATCGGCACGAACACTTAACAGCGCGAGCAGCGTTGCGCAAGCGCGGTACAACAACGCACCTCACCTGCTTCGCCATTAACACTGCCTTGCAACGGAGAATAAATACAGTGGCCCGGCGCTGTAGGCAATGGCTGAAGAGCTGTGTTAGGTGTTCATGGTAAAATGGCTGAGTATTGCATAGTTTGAAAATGTTCATTTGGCTCAGGTTTCTGTCTCGAGATATTTGGGCAGCCATTTGATCACTTTGGCCGGTTCTTATGAGGATAAGTTTCAAATGGCAGCAGAACTTTATGCTACAAGTTGACTCATATCACATCTTTTTTTCTGGAGATAGTTATAGTGCCCCCCCCCCACCCCCGGGTTACAGATGGACAGATGGACAGGGCTATTACAAAAACTCTTTAAACCCGAATTGGGGAGCATTAAAAATAAATGTGCGGTGTGTGGCCTCAGTCGGTGATTGTGAAGAGCATGGAGCGGAATGCGGGCAACGTCTATGAGGCTCGGCGTCTGCTGCTAGGCCTGGAGAACAGCGGCATCCCCGTCCCGGCCAATGGCCTTCTCAACCCCAAGATGAGCTGCCCGGTCTCCCTGGCAACGAATGCAACGTACCCACTGCAGGCCTCAGGCCTGGACATCCTCGCCTCAGCTGGACTGGGGCTGTCCACTATTGGTAGGTCAAATGCTAATATGTATTAATATTATTTTATTATTACCGTTGCCGAGCACAGGCCCAGAGGTCCAAAACATCAAGCAGCCATCTTCTTGGTTCTTTCGGTAAAGTCACGTAGAAGGGAAATAATAAAATAATAAAAATAAAACATAATAAAATACAATTCTCACGACGTTTCGGCCACAACGCAAGCAGCCGTCCTCAGGTGAAGAACAGGGCTGTCTTTCCGACAGGCTGTCTCTCCGACAGCCTGTTCTTTACCTGAGGACGGCTGCTTGCGTTGTGGCCGAAACGTCGTGAGAATTGTATTTTATTATGTTTTATTTTTTAATTATTTTCCTTCTACGTGACTTTTCCGAAAGAACCAAGAAGATGAATCCCTGCAGTCACGAAAGCTTTAAATCGAAATGTAAATGAATAGTTCACCATAAAACCCATAATCGATTAATCTTTGGAACATATTGATTATTGGTCTCAAATTAATGATACAGTCTCAATACATGATTAATGACAGCGGTGGTTATTTATGTCAGATAATGAGGGAAAGTGAATCGGTAATTGATTAATGTACGTCAAGCAGGCTAGCTGTTTCCGTGGTCAGTTCGCCTGGCTTGCAATAACAAGGTTCGGATTTAAAATCCTAATTCGGGGATCAACGCAGCCTATCGTCCATTTTAGGCCAATAAAACACGTACAGTGGAACCTCGGTATACGATCGCTTTGGAATACGTCGAATTTGGTATACGTCATTTTCGGTATAAGTCCTACCTTCTGGAAGGAATTAACGACGTATACCGAGGTTCCACTCTATTGCATTGTTGGCCGTCAACTGTTGCTACTTCCTAGAAAGACTGGCACCCACAAATGGAGACTGGGGATTTCCCACCATCTGTTCAGGGTCACCAATGGAAATTGTGCCACGTGATTTCTCATTTAAATAAAAAGACACTGATTTATCTACAGGTCTGACGTTTCACTGCACGTGCCGAGAGCTTTTTCGGGAACTGAATGGAGCATCTCGCGTTCCCCCCTCGATTATGTAAAGTTACCAGTTGCTGCTGCCGTTTGATGTAGGCCAGCCGATATTATGAATTAGCCAAAACACATCAAGAGGGCAAAAAACAGCACAACTGTGAAAACCTCCATAAGTAGCACCTCCAATTAGCATGGTTGGCTACGTACGGTGCGAAAAATGTTCAACATATATACATACATAAGGCATACTGCTAACCTCATTCTTGAGGGGCACGTTTACCAGCATTAACCCCTTACTTACCCCATCCTTGTCCCACCTGCGTGTGTTCCAGAGAGCTGGCTATGCGCAAGCACCACGGCCGCCTGCACACAGCAGCCTCCCGTTCTCAAGAGCTGTGCCGAAGCTGCCCGTGAGTACAGAGAGCTTCACACTTCCGCAGCCAGTGGGCTCTCAGGAATGGCGAGCCTTCCATCGTTGAGGACGTAGCATATCTCCCACATCATCCCACGTGCTCATTTTTTCGCAGCGTGTTTTAAAAATGTTCATAATCAACGTTTTTGGGTTTAGATCGCGTTATTTATAAATGTGTCGTAACCCTCCACCACCCGACACGGCCAATCAGTAAAAAAGTGTCACGTTGACAAAAGACAAATAGTTCACTGCTTTAGCCCACCGGCGTGTTGAAGAGTGAAACCACAACATTTACAATTTTTGAGTACGACGTTTCGCTGGTAATTGCATCCAGCATCATCGGGCAATTCGCCAATGTTTAAAACATTTTATTTGCGAAGGTTGTATTAACACCTCTACTTATGCTGCAAGATATTTTATTTCGTCCTTATAGCATTAATAACTCCTTTGAAATTGAAGAAGATTTCTCATGCTTAAAATGTGTTCACTTGAAAGAACGTGTTTCCCACTCTTTGGTTTTTTTTCGGTAAAGTCACGTAGGTAAAAAATAAAATAAAATAAATGAAAACAACTAAATTAAATCACGACGTTTCGGGCGCAACACAAGCGTCCTTCTTCAGGTGGGGACAATGTAGCGAACGCGCAACCGCTCAAGTGTGTCTTAGAGATGGCTGTGTCGTGATTTAATTTAGTTGTTTTCATTTATTTTATTAGATTTTTTACCTACGTGACTTTACCGAAAAAACCAAAGAGTATAAATCCTTGCAGTCACGAAAGCTTCAAATCTAGAACGTGCTTCCCCTTTCAGCAACGTTGTATTCGTGTCAAAGTGGGTATATTAAGTCTTGAGTATAACACAAGAACACAACACAAACATCAGAGAGAGGAACGCACGTCGTGAGCACGTAACAGACCCAGAGCCAGACGACTCGAATAGGGACTGAGTGGAGGCCCTTGGGCTCACTGCCCTCCTACCATATGGACAACGATCGGGAGTACCATATTTGCTGGGGGGGGGGGGAGAGGAGGAAAGAGCGGGAGGGGGAAAGCACAACACATTTCTAATGGGTTCATCGCGGCAATTTCAGATACGAAATCACCAACGCTCGCGGTGAAAGGGTGAAAATTGTCTGCCACCTCTCGCATTAGCGCTGTGCACTCTGTCGCACTGTGTGGAACGCATGAAAAGTCATTCAGCCCGGATCGATTCTGTTCTGATACAGCCATGCTGAGCCCTGGGGCCCTGAGTGTGGCCACCAACAGCGCCCTGCTCAACATTCTCAACGCCCAGCTGAGCCCAGTGGTGACCCAGGGGTCCGGCCCCCCGCAGAGCACCCCCATGTGGACCGTGTCACCCCCAGGTACTGCAACAGATGGATGCCAACACACCCGCGCGTGTACACGTCAGTGTGGGCTACTATGCGTGCACATTTAGAGGAATTCGTTAGCGTACTGTATAACGATTCACCGATCAGTGCGTCTACTCGCGCATGTACAGATCGATTCTTTACAATCAAATAATATAATCAGCCGTGAACAATGTGCTCCTGGAAGACGGCTTTCCCAAGGTGTCACCACCATCTCTCATGATCCTGTGATGCCGTAACGCACCGAGCGCCTGAACACGAGCTGATTTCAGAGTAATGTATGCAAATTGTGCATGTCAGTTTTAAGCTAATGGAACAAATGTGAACAGAATGTACGCAACAGATGGCAAGAATGAGAGATTACAATTGAGATGCAACATAATTGATTCTTCATCATGTGACCTCCTTTGCCAGTACCAAAATATGATAGTAGGTTTTTCCCCTTCTTTTCTGGCAACAAAACAGGTGTTAAGTTGTTAAAACACCAAACTTAAACCTTTTACAAGGAATCATGTCTGTATTAACCACAATGCTTGTGGTCAGAATGCAGATAAAAAACATGATCTGATAATATATACATTGTCTTTGAAACTGATTGGTCCACACCAGAGACAGCTGTTCTTTTGAGCCTCGTCTCAAACGGTGTTAGACCAGAGGACGCCAGAAGACGACCAGAGTATGTTTTTTGTTTGCATTCTGACCACAAGTATTGTGGTTAATGCAGACATGATTCCTTGCAAAAGGTTTCAGTTGGTGTTTTAACAATTTAACACCTGTTTAGTTGCCAGAAAAAAAGGGGAAATACCTATTTTAATAATTGATTTTTCAATGTGATTGTGACCCTGAATTGAGGGAATAGAATTGTGGATAGGCTCATTCATTATTTGGCCAGTTAAAAATTTACCCGTAAAAACAAAGTTTTTCACTATAAATCCTTTATATGCGTGGCGGCTAGAGTCCTCTCGTCCTCTGGCTTGAGATGGCTGCCACCTATGGGTCAGATTATTGCCTGCCACCATTAAGCAATTGGTAATTAAATATAAAAAAAAATTCCTAAAAAGCGTAACATTTTGGAAAAATTTTTTCACGAAAATAAATTGTCACGCACAATGAGTCTGTGTGCAAAATGTCAGTTCGATTGGATCACGGGAAGTGGGATAAAAAACGACCGAAAGATTTGCACGGTCGTAAGCGCGCAAGCAAGCAAGCAAGTAAACTTAATATAAAGGATTTAAAAAAGAGCTTTATCGGTTATCAGATTCCTCCAATATAAATACATATTTTGATTCTGATTCAATGGCAAAGCCTTAACAGACTGTTGAGGCAATTGCTGTTACAGAACATCTATGAAGGCCGATACGGCACCTGAGGGGGTGGGTGGCCAGAATCACGCCTGGCCGCCTTTTTCTCCCTCGTGGCAATGTAAACATACTGCACCAAGCACTCATTTGAGGCTGAGTCGACCTAGGGGAGGCCCAGAACCAGTTCAGATATTTGTCACCGAAGTTGGCCGTGAGCGAGAATCGAACTCGGGCCGCCGGGTTTGTAGCGCAGCGCGCTAACCGCTACACTACCACTCCCCATACAGTCTCACCCAAACAGAGCGACAAGGAACAAAGTCAGAAAATATTAAGCAAATTATTTGGTGATGCTGCTGCTTCGTTGGCAGTCGTGTATGAGCACAAATAACAACAAAAACTCACCTTCATCAATAACATTGTGATCTTATAAGACCACGTATCTGGCAATGGCCCTTCTTCACCACAACACATGAATAAGATTGGCCAGAGAGATAGAGTGGATAATAAGAGTTGGAGACTCTCCTTGTTTACACCATGGGGCCTGATAAGAAATACATTTTTAAAATGTTTCCGAATGACCAGAATTTAAATTGTGAGAAGCAGAATGTGTCTTTGTGTCTCAATTGACCACATCCTTTGGCACACGTCTCCCTTGAAACAGAAACCTGTGTGTTTAGAGGGAGACCGAGGGGAAAGAAAAGGTGGAGGATGTAGCACAAGAAAAGTTGCTTCGTGGCCACCTTCTGTGCCTCTACATCCCGGCGTGCGTCTGCCGTCCCTGCACCCACAGGGTTTCCCGCACTGCCCCCCGTGGTGCTGTCGCCAGCCACGCAGGCGGCGCTCACCGGCATGCTGCTGGGGGGCGGCATGACCAGCTACGGGACACCGTCGCATCGCATGCCCTCTCCGCCTCCGGGCCTGAGCCCCCCGACGCCGCACGCCCTCCACCATCACCACCACCACCACCAGGCAGCGCTGGCTTCCGTGCAGGCGGCTGCCAGTGGCTCGGCAGCCACGCGTGGCGCCGGCGAACTCGTGGGCTTTAACTCGCCGTCCGGGGCAGCGTCGGCGCAGGGCATGCCCGCAACGCAGCAAGGCGTCGGAGGCGCACGGACGTTCAGGGCAGTGGCGGAACAAGGGGGGGCGGCGACGAGCCTCGGTCTCTCCACTCGGCCGTCTCAGTCCATGGCCGTGGGCCTGGCTCACGGCGAAAGCGGCGGCGTGACAAACTGCAGGATGGCTCACGCGAAATCGCACGGGGACACGGGAGACGGCGGCGGGCAGGGGCCCGCGAAGCTCACGCCGAACACCTCTCTCAATGGCCACGTCAAGGTACCCAAGTGCTACGGCACTTTCAAACGCTGTTGCCGAGCGCATAATGAATGAAAATGATGAAAGTGGTTTGCAGCCGTTTTGTCAATCTGTTGCCTCCTCAATGGTCGTGTGGGTCATGGGGGTTATTTGATCAAATCTATCTACATTTGTCAAGGGTGGGTTGGAAGGATGGAGGGGGCTATGACCGGTTAAGATATCATCGCTCACTGCTGATTGTTTTATGCTAGCCGTGGCCAGGAATTAAGTTCAGATTTGCCTGGTTGCCTCGAACTTAGTGTAGAGCAATAACCGCTGCACCACGACTCCACCAAAGTTTTCCCATTGATCTATCCTGTTCTTACAAATAACCTCAATACATTTTGCTATTTTCAACTGCGAACTGTGATATTAATTTGCTAGTGTAGCAATGATCCTTGCTCTTGTGATGCAACAAATGTGTATGTGTGCATTTGTTCAATGTCCGTGTATGTTTGTGAACGTGTATGCATGTGGCGCAATGTTAGATTCCTGGCCACGGTGAATATCAGTGAGGAGTGGTATCTAAACCTGTGCTACACTTTCCTAGGTAAACTCAGCCTTAAATTAGTACATACCAGGTGCGGTGTGGAAACATCAGCGGCGGGAAGACAAAGGCGACCGGGTGTGGTGTCGCCCACCCCACCCTCTCTTACACCGTTGCGGACTGATGAGGTGTTCGCTAACAGCGCTTGCCCCAACAGTCGGTTGAAGGCTACACGGCCAATGATGGCTTTCGTCTCTCTGTGCGTTCACGTGCAGCAGCCGTCCGAGAGAGCGGCGGGTTGTCAGAAGCGGGAGTGTGTCGTGCTGTCTGGCTCACGAGGCCAGCTGTCTCCCAAATCCAACACCCGACGAGGTGGGTGGCTCCTTACGCTTCCAATCCCCTCCGCTTATCCACTCATCATCATCTCAGTCGTCCGTGATCTATCCACTGCCGGATAAATGTCTCACAAAGCTGTCGCCAATTCCTCATGATCTCACGGTGCAACAATCCATCTGGTTCCTGTACGTGAGCGGATTTTGTCGCTCCACTGCCACGGAGCCACGAAGAACGTGGCCCCTTTGGCTGCCACTCCATTGTTAGTCTCGACCATCGGCCATCAGCCCTTCGAGAGACAAGTGTCCACTTACTTTTCTTGGCAGTCAATAGGATGTCTTTAACTTTGCCGTGTTCTCTTTTTCCATGCGTCCCTCTTCGTGCCTTTCAAGTGTAATTCCAAGCGTGCTCCCTCTTCGTGCTTCTTTTCAGCTTGTTAAAATTGTCTTCGTCCATATTTTCAGTCGATGTTATCGCAGGAAATATGCACCGATTAAGCCAGAGAATGTCACTGCTTGTCAATCCCCTTAATTCCCAACTGATTCGGTCTTGGTATTTTTGGAGCCTCATTTTCGTAAATAACAAACGGAAGCCTGATATTCATCAATAATACTGTGGCCTGATAAAAAATAAGTATATAGTATGTGACGTTTCAGGCACAGCACAGAGGGGCCAGAGAGGTAGAGTGGTCCCTCAATGTGTGGTGATTAAGGGTCATTGCCAGAAACATCGCCTAATATAGGCCTCTTCTTTTCAAGGCTGCCATCTTATTGACGAAGTTTGTTATTATTTGTGCTCGTGCACCACTGCCAATGCAGCAGCATCACCAACTACTTTGTTTCTTTTTCATAATCGGTGGCTCTCGTCTGTAATGTGGTGTTTTTGAGGCAAGGTTTAGTGAATCACATAAACATTTCAAAACTTCCAAACCCTCCTGATTGGGAAATGGCCCTGAAACGGCAGTAGAGCAAGTGTGTTTGTATGGACTATCGGGTGATTTCTGTATGGACTATTGAGTCATTTCCCCTCATATGCATTGGCTTTCTATGGTTATTCTGGTTTCCTCCCACATTCAAAATACTCCTTCAAATAGAACTGGCCAAACATTCCAACGCGGAAACCTTCTTGAAAAATATCTTGAATCTTGTTGGTCCTGTTCTTAAATAAATAGGTGACATCGTTATAATCATTAAAATATAATCCAGCAGAGTTGTCAACTCACTCTTCCAGTCTTGTAAAAAAAATAATGAATGTTTAACCCGGTCTCCATGCAAAGCCCTGGCTGATTCATCGTCATTGTTGTCAAGCTGAAATGGAGAGCTGTCAATAAAAAAAATACATAGAAATGTCCTCTCAGCAAGTTGGCGAGCTAAATGTCACTACCACTTAGTGCATCGCTGAGATTCCAATTGCTTGACGGTAACTCCGTGCCACTGTACAACAACTGAATGTCGTTGAGTTCATGGGCGTGCAAATGGCTTAAATGTGTACGAGAGTTCCCGAAGGGAAACTCCACGACTATTTGTCGTTCAGAGGTTTCCCCTTGGAGTTCTTTCGCTGATAATTCCCCAGAGTGGAAGTGGTATAATACATGGTAATGGTTGCTTGAGATTCAGTGCAGTAGTTAAAGCAGTCTTTCCAAACCAGGGCAAACCCTAGGAGCAGAGAGCAGCAAGATGGGAGGGCACGGAAGGGCACTGCATCCCCCTCGGTTAACAGAAATTCAAGCTCAAGTGTCCATGTGCAAGGTTATGTCATGCTTACTGCATATATATTTTCTCTGCATTTACTCTAATGTGTACCATGAAGGGGAGCATGGGTACTTATTACCCTCCACTCCCCGTTTCTTTAATCACTGATTTGGTGTAAGTATTATGATCCTTGTAGGCTGCCGTGTTCACTCGATGATTACAGCAATCACCGAGCACTGGCCTAGGGGGCATTAATGACCCCTAGGCCAGGGTGGCCTTCGGTAACACAAACACGGCAACACCATCAGATGAACAGACGTCAGCACTTACGTCTGCCTCTTACACGTCGAGGTAGACACTGGCCCAGGTCCACAGGTCCCAGCCTGGTACGTGGTTCACATCGCGAGCTTGTACGCCACGCTGCCCTGCTTTTCACGAGAATACTGCGCATGTGACTTGATGCTCCGCAGAGCCGGAGGAGGCGTACGTGGAGGTGGGGATGCCGCGCAGTCCGTCCCACTCGGCCAGCAGCCACGAGCTGCAGCAGAGCCTCTCCCGGGCTCGTGTGCTGCACCAGCAGCATCAGCAGCAGCAGCAACAGCAGCACATGCAAGCACATGCGCAGTACGTCGGGGTGAACAGCACACACACACACAAAGCTACTACATTTCTGGGAGGCTCAATGAGGAAACGTGGTGAGATGTCAAGCCTCTCCCTTGTCAGCCCGGACCATGTGTTTTTCAACAGCCATGTCCACTATATTGAACGCCCCGCCCACACAGAGAGCAGCCTCTTCGGCTCTATTAATTGAATCTGCTACTACTCATAGAGCTTGCCCACTCCTCTGCAGACTCCGCCTGCTACTCAGCAAGCCCCAACCTTTGCCCGTATCACGAGTCGGGCATGAAGCCAACAAATGTGAAATCAGGCCAAAATCTCAATTTGCTTTCTTAAACCTGCGACTGTCTCAACCAAGCCAGGATATCATCATCATGCGATCTCCTTTGCCAGTACCAAAATATGATAGTAGGGTTTTCCCACTTTTTTCTGCCAACAAAACAGGTGTTAAGATGTTAAAACACTAAACTGAAACCTTTTACAAGGAATCATGTCTGCATTAACCACAATGCTTGTGGTCAGAATGCGAAAAAAACATACTCTGATAATATATGCATTGTCCTTGAAACTAATTGGTCCACACCAGAGACAGCTTTCTTTTGAGCCTTTTGGCAGTCCTCTAGTCTAACACCGTTTTGTTGCCAGAAAAAAGGGGAAAAACCCTACTATCAAGCCAGCATAGTTGGGTAGCTTTTTACATCACCAACAGCAATGGAGTAGCGTGTAAAATCTAAGCCGTGGCATAAACACCTTGGATTCTATCTAGATTAAATTTTTATTTATTTTATTTATACATACGTGACTTTACCGAAAGAACCAAAGAGTATGGAACCTTGGATTCTAACCATGACATGCTGGGAAGTGACTACAATACAGTAAGGCCATTCGCTAGTATTGTTATTAAATACAATTGAAGGGACAGCGCATTGGTAGTGGTGTTCACGCACAAATGAATAAAATAATATAAACTCCCCCATCATTAGCACACCTTTTGACAAATATCCTTGTTTGGTTACATTCATAAAATCATGAATCTAGGTCTGTTTAATGTCTCTGTAGCTTAGTTTTGTATTTTTTTCCATGACGAACCTGGAAGTAATCTGCCCGACTTAATCTGCACTACATATATATTAATATTTAGCTTTTATACAACGCTAATTTACATATTACATATTCCCCAATTCCTCGTGTGATTCAGTGTTATTGCTACAACTTTTGAGCTGATTGCTGTTTGCTACATTACCGTACTTTGTTATGTTTTTGTTATTTTGGTGACCCAGGTCTCTCTTGCAAATGAGACTCATGCTGGTCCTTGAGTTCTCACCTGGTCACACTAAATAAACTTGAAACTTAAATACACGCAGGAGTGCAGCAGCTATGCAGAAGTTCTCACGCGGCGCTATCAACCCGGTGAACAGAGTTCTCTTCCTGCCCACATTTAATATCAGCGCGTGAGTTATATTTGAACTGGTCCTGGGTTCCCCCTACAACTCGCACTGACCAGCATGGTAAAGTATGGTTAAACAACCCCAGTGCCCGAAATAATGTGGCGTGGCCTTACCATACATCCTCTTTAAAAACACACTTTTGCTCTCAATGGGTGCTCACCAGATTATAAATAAAAGACATTGTCCATGACAAAGGAGAGATCTCACAGCATTAGCCAAGCAAGATGCTATCTGTTTCCAACGAAACTGGACAGCTCTGAAGGGAAATAGGCATGTGCATGCACATCACAGGTAGGTGCCAGAAAACCTCATCTCTTCAGCACCAGCAACACTAGGGGGCTCTTTCCTGTGCTCCCCGGATGCAGGGCTCAAGAGCGGCGACTGTCCGGCACAGAGGGCGATCACAGGGATCTGCACACGGACAAGAGAGCGCCAGGCAGCGAATGGGCGGCGGAGAGATCATGCGCCGACGGCTTCAGGCTGGCTCCGCACTCCCCCTACACGTCTGCTGTTGAGGCGAGTCACCATGTCGGTTACTGCGTAGGTTTTCGCGGTCGTGCTGTACTGTACGGCTCTCCGGTGTGGGTACCGCGCTCTTGTTTCGGGAATGATGTCCCGATGTTTGTGTAAGTCAATCGCTGCTTCACTGCTTTGATTGTGATATGCCGAAGGGTAAAGTTGGAATCTAGGCGCTTGGTGGCTACAGTCAACATCACTTCATGAGGGACATGAAGATTGTAAGCAGCGTTCAAGTCGCCAATGACATGCGGATAATATTAAGGATTCAAAAGTTAATTAAACCCACTGTGATAATGGAAAATTGCACATTTTCATTAAAAGCACTTCGGATTAATTTTAGAAACCTCATGTGGCCACAAACAATTTCACTCCCTGGGCAGCGCGTGTCTTCCATGCTGTCATGGGCATGTGGCATAAATGCTCTTGTGTCTCCTTCCAAAGAATCCGAGTTCTATTCCAGCATGAGGTCAAACTTTCAAAGGCTGCATGACTAATTCACGGTTAAAGTGCCTTATCTTGTGAGATATTAGCAAGCTACTAAGCAAGGTTGAGCCTACGCTGGCATTTGGAGAGGTAACTGCCTGGGAATACCAGGTGTTGTGGGCTTGGTACTGTGAGGTGACTAGGAGATTACAGTGCTTGCTAAGTGTCGCCCCCTCATAAACGTGGTGGCCTTTCTCCGGGTTCTCCAGATTCTGAGCACACCAAGCCAAACACTCATTAATTGAATTGGCCAAACACCACAATGCAGGACCTTCCATTAGACATTCTTAATTGCTCATTGAGGATTTTCTGGATAAAGGATATCATCATTATTATTGTGGAACCTTACCTAGTCAGGTCGATATGACCTGGCATTTACACTCATTGGATGCTTACATCTCTGGGGGAGGCCAAGGGTGGAAAGTGCATCAGCATGCCAACTTGCAAAACAACTTTTCGTCAATAACACTTATCCACACATCATCACGCCCCAAAATCCTCACACATTTTACACTTGTCGAAATTATTAACAGCCCTTTGTCAATCCATTGTCAGATTAAGGCCTCCTCACACCGTGTTTGATCATCCTGCACTAAAAAGCTGGTCAGTGCAGGGTTGAAGGGTGTCAGGGACAGGACCGGATCAGATATCACTGGCCACTGATGTTAGCCGTGGTTGGGAATCAAACTCGGGGTCGCCGGGTTCGTAGAGAAATGCGCTAACAACTACATCACCGCTGTCCCATAATACAGCTTGTTCACCAGAGATAGATTTTTAAGAGGCAAAACAACTACACAATGGTACGCAATGCCGCAAGCACATATGTAAGTAGGTGTACTCAGACAATGTTTGCGTATTCATGGGTGCATGCAAATACTTGGCAGTTGCAATCCACACACCCTTCCAGAGGCACATGATTGGCACCGTGTACTCAGAGCTTACTAAATGTGCAATTTCCTACCTGGGGAGCAATCAGCAATTTCCAAAGATTTGTGGAAATATCGGGACCCTTGACATTCCCTTGAAAGGAAAGTCAGAGATGACCATTTACCCCCCCCCATCCCCCCATCCCCGGTTAGTTCAGGTACTGTATTGGTTGGTACCAAGTGGAATACTACACACTTCCACGCACGTGAACACACTCACGAGTTCAATTAAAACGTGACAGTTTCAGTGTTGCGTGCAGGGTGCGACATCCCATTATCACCGTCGCAACCACCACCTCCGGGAGAAATTATGTTTATTGCATCTGTAATGGAATTGCACAAATTCGGCACTTCCCTGGCTTTAGGTGTGACGCTTACTCAAATGCGTGAGCCCTCCCAACTGATCCTGTAGCGCTGGGTTATTTCTGTCGTTCAAATACAAATCTGTGCAATGAACATGTATTAAATAATGGAAGTGTGCAGCACTATAAAAAAAACAATATTAATCTTTAGCTCTTTGTAAATATATTGCTGGATGAAGGCCTCCCCAAGCTGTGTGGGTCAAAAGGGTTTGTCTGACCATAGTTCGCCATGCTGGTCAGTGCATGGTGATGAAGAAGAGGTGGTGAGGACTGCGTCAGATATCACTCGTCTGATGTTAGCTGGGAATTGACCGCTGATTTCTTGGTTTTGAGTGCAGTGGTTTCCACTCCAATGCCAATTTCATCATCATCATCATCGGCATCATTGTCATCAGCCCTGATCTATCCATTGCTGGACGAGGGCCTCCCAACACCAATGCCAAGGCAATATAATGTACACATACTGTATAAACTTGTAAATAAACATGGTGGGTGTGTCTGTGTGCAACCATACATTAGCCAAACCCATTGTTGTCCATGCACACATAATTTTTCGATTTAAAGCTTTCGTGACTGCAGGGATTCATCTTCTTGGTTCTTTCGGTAAAGTCACGTAGAAGGGAAATAATAAAATAATAAAAATAAAACATAATAAAATACAATTCTCACGACGTTTCGGCCACAATGCAAGCAGCATTCAGACGCTGTCTTTCCGACAGACCTGTTCTTCACCTGAGGACGTCTGCTTGCGTTGTGGCCGAAACGTCGATGAGAATTCTATTTTATTATGTTTTATTTTTATTATTTTATTATTTCCCTTCTACGTGACTTTACCGAAAGAACCAAAAACATGCACACATAGTTTATATAGTTGAGTAAAATTAAATACAGCACGTACACGCAACTACATACGCTATACCAACATGCACCTGGCATGTGACGATGTATTAATTCATCGATTAAATCGCTTTACAAGCTCATGGTGACGTTTCACATTGTGCGTGTGACAAACACATTATGTACAAAATCGAATCACAGCCCAATTTAAAGAATTGCTGCAGGCCACGGTAAAGGGTGAAGAATGAATTGCTTGCCCAACCCGTGAGCACGCATACTGATCTGTCTCCATGTTGTCCGTCACCTTGCAGGCCGCTGACTACGAACAGAAAAAGCTAATGGCAACAAAAGGTACGGTGGAGCTTCTTTGAGCTTGGCAAAGGTTGCGGCCATCGCAGATCACTCTGAATTAGAACGATAGTAATACCTTCACTGTAATACATTACTGCGACTGTCCGTGGAGGGATCATCCGTCACCGTGCTTTGCTCTGTACTCGGCAAAGTTGGCCTCAGAGATTCCTGGGGCTGCGTTTCTCAATTCTTGTCCATGCGATTTCCCCCCCTCCTCCTACCGGGATAAAGGTTTCCGTGATTACCAACCATTCGGTGAATGAAGTGTGTGCAGTGGCTTAATGTTCACACGAATAAAAAAGAGTGGTAATGACGAGATGACAGACCCGTTTGGGACCCCAGGGGCCTGTAGGCAGCCAAAAAGAAACCACATTCTCAATAGAAAACCCAACAAAGGGGTTGGTTAACATAGGTCGGTTGTTGGAAGGTCAAGTTAGACAATCACATTGCAGCTAAACGGGCTTGGCGAAAAGAAATCCGAAGCTAGTGCACATTGTTACATTTTTGGGTGCCTGTCCACTGAATGATATCGTTAAGCCGGTTTTGAGCGGCCAGTATACAGTCTTAAGGTCATGGAATCCGGTTGAACACGTTTTACTCATTATCATATCTCACACATGCAGCGCTCCCCCCATCTCCTACGCCCCATCCATCCATCCATCCCATCCATCCCACGCATCCCCCAACCGTCCCCACACCCCTACCCTACCCGCACTTCACACTGAGCTTCAAGAAGCAGCATTTTTCCAAAGTCCAAAGAAAGGGTGACGTCTACGAGAGAACAATCTGATTAGGAGTGAAGACATTCCAGCTGCGCAGCCGACTTCCCTCATTCCTGCGTCATCCACACACCCCGGCCCGACGGCTGTCTCCAGCCGGCACAGCTACCGTGACGCGAGCGGGTCACGGCATCAAAGCATAACCCACGGCATTCCCCACGCAGATAATTGTTTTGGGTTCGAGTTTCGTGGCCGTGTGCCAGACAACACCGAGATCTCTTTATTTTCTTAGCGCAAGGCTGACTCGGATTTGTTTTGAGTTGCAGTTGGTATTTTTAGTTCATCAGCAGCCCTCAGGGTGGAGCGAAAAATTAAATTATAACAAATACCGGTGTGTTCATGTGAGCGTGTGCGGTGCAGGGGTTTAGCTGCACTGCGTTACGAACCCGGCGACCCGAGTTCGATTCCCGCACACGACCACGGACAGTGGTGAATATCTGAACTGGTCCTGGGCATGCCTCAGGTCGACTCAGCATTAAATTATTACCTGGTGCGTTGTGTAAAGCTCAGCACTTGGGGAGAGAAAGGCAGCCAGGCATGGCGCTTGACCTTCCACCCCGTCGTGTGCCGTGTCGGCCTTCATAGTTGTTCGCTAAAAGCACTTGCTCCAACAGTCTGTTAAGACTATAGGTGGGGATCTTTGTGTATGTGCACAAGTGAATGCACAAGTGCAGTATTTGCTTGCATGTCTCTGTGTCTTATATCTATGTCCACACTTTAAAAGTCGACACCCTGAGCAAGGAAACCATCCTCAGGCATTCCGATGACTCGCATGTCTTCACAATAATCCTTTTCAGACTCTAACGACTACCTCACTCCCGAAATAAGTTTCTTGCAACTTTCCGCCCGAGCGACTGCCCCTTCTTTACAGAACCCCCATTGTGGGGGTTAAGCCGCTGGGCCGTGGCGCGTGAAATTTGCCCCGCGTTGTCGAACAGGCATCACCTCCGCATTGTCTCGCTCCAGGAAGAATTTGCGGCGGCGCGATTCCATTTTTAACGGCCCACGCACAAATTCCAATCTAGATGCCGCAATGGTGGCGGTTGCGTTCGTCAGCGCCGCCACCGCCTCCGAGGTGAGGTCACCTTTCCCGCGCTCGCGCGTAGCCATGATGGCGCAGGGTGCTCGTTTGGCGTTGCGGTTCCGAAACAATGCGTTCTGTCGCGTGACATTTTTCCGGCTCGTCTCCCGTCCAGGCCGTGACGGGTGCGTCTGCCTACCTTTGCAACTGTATCTTTCAAAGCGCCCTCAAAGGATGCATCACGTTGCATTGAAACGGATCACGTGCGCCGAGATCTCCGGATAAATTTGACGTGAAAAGTTGAACGAAAATCGATCCCCGTGGCTCAGTGAAGCGAGGCATTTAATTGGAGTGGTGCCCATATTCAAAAGTTCAACATTATTTTGTCAATTATTTAATTCTAAAAACATTCGTGCTCGCACGTATTGTTCCCTTGCAACCAATACACTTCGCCAAAAATCAAAGGCCAAGAATAGCTTTAATATCGCATCAAGAAATTGATGGCCTGCGTTTGTGTGGCAACCTGCTTACCTCTGGAGAGCATTCTCCTTGATTACAGTTGAAAGGGCGCATGAGATTATCAGCTAAAATCAGACCAGAATTCTGAGAACAAAGTGACTCACCGGTTGGGTTTAACTTTGATATGTGTTAAGCAGAAAACCTGGCATGCACCAATTTGCAATTTTCATTGGTACATTTTTACTGCAAATCCGTGGAAAAAATCTGGCTATTTTTAAGGCGGGGAAAGAAAATTTCGGCAGTTGTAACTTTAATATGGCTCTTATTTATGGTTTTGCTGATGACACACACTTAAAGACACAATTACAGCTTAAAGTAAGGCATGCTCAGCCAACTCATCTAATCCTGCGAATGTAAAATATCAATGGAATGCACCTTGTAGCCTTAGAATCACGTACAGTCATACCCTGATTTACGTCTCCCCCCATTTATGTCATTTCCCAAATACGTCGTAACTTTTTTAACATCGCTACCTGACTTTATGTCGCCTCTACCCACACTTACGTCACTGACAGCATCATCCATTTTTTCTAATATCCATTGCCTCAGCCTTCACCTCCAGCTACCTTGTAAATCTCTTTGACTTTCATAATTTAGATATTTGTCGCACCTTTCAGGAACACGCCCCCAATGTTAAACCGGGGTATTACTGCACTGGGCGAAGTTTCGCCTTGACCTTTGACATTCTGAAACAAGTTAGTGTTTGCGCTGTTCTCATAATATTTTGTAGTTATTTACTGCTCTAGCGTTGATTAATACTTTTACATCTTTCCCGGTGAGCGTCGGCGTAATTATTTTGCTCTGCAGCTAAAGAACTCAACTCAGAATGTACAGCCCGCCCCGCCCTCCGGAGTTCAAGTTTAGAGCTTATTTTATTTAACCAGATCAGAACTCGAGGCCAGGTTAACCTTTTTTTTGCAAGAGTTCATCACAAATCCCCTCTCATCTCACTCTACTCCCCTCTGCGTGCGCTGCACTTTAGCAACCCAAGCATTTTCGTCATATCCCCTTTGTCAACCTTTCACTCAGTGGGAGATCGATCATTCTCCGATGCTGCCCCTGTAGTCTGGAACGTCCTCTCATCAGGCTCAAGGTCTTCTATTTTCCATCTGCCTATGATGGAAAATAAAAATGGCTGCCATTCCTGTATGACGTGTTGGGACGCGGTCGCATGTCGAGACGCAATATGTAATCCACGTAAATTGTGGACGGGTTCCACCCCCATTCATTTGGGCGTGGAGACATCTTGGTTGCGATTCACAGGCTGGATTAGGGCCATGGAAACTGTTTCGATGAAAGTAACGGGAAAATTGCATCGACAGAAAGCTCCGTCAGATTTATATTGCCACCAGCCAAACTCGTTACTCTTTGGCTTGGTTTTACCTGCCGAGTACAGCACGTGGTGTGCAGTTCTGGAACACCCCGAACCGAGCCATCTGCACTGTTGACTGCCTGCCATCGTACTACTCCTCTGCCTGTGACCGACTGCTTGTCCATCTAAATAACATAAATGTACCCCCATTGTTTCTGTACAGCATCATGATGTGCAATTAAATGCTGTATAAATCAAAACTCTTTTGTATTGTGAAATGTATTCAGGAGTAGAATGTCCTTTTGCTGCAAAGCGATGTTAATGACAAAGGTGGTGAGTTTTTAATTTCTACTTGTGCACCGCTACCAATGCAATCTCATCAGCTTTCACCAGGATCTGCGTACACTCTGAAGGGCAACAGAGCTGCGGAAGGAGTGAGTGAGCGAGCGAGCGAGCAATTACTTAATTCACTCTGCCATTCCTAACACACCACATTGTCCCCCGTCCCCGTTTGTAACCCTCACGCTGGCACGCGGGCGACGTAGCCATGCAGAAGAAGCCGGTGGTGACGGAGGTGCGGACGCCCACGAGCCAGTGGAGTGGCCTCGGCTTCTCCAAGTCCATGCCAGCCGAGACCATCAAGGAGCTGCGGCGGCCGAACCACGGGTCCTTCAAGCCGAGCATGCCCACCACCTTCGAGGTGCCCATCTCTCCCTCATCATCATTAGACTTGATCTAGCCACTGATAAATGATTGACTCCCCCCCCACTGAGCAGATGCCATATCTCTCAATCTCGCAATATAACAATTTGAGTTGTCCTCATTGATTGCTGAAAATCAGAGGTGGGACAAAGTCATTGTTATGCAAGTCCAAGTCGAGTCTGAAGTCATCAAATTCATGACTCGAGTCTGACTCGAGTCCAAGTCACATGACTCGAGTCCACACCTCAGAGGTGGGACAAAGTCATTGTTATGCAAGTCCAAGTCGAGTCTGAAGTCATCAAATTCATGACTCGAGTCTGACTCGAGTCCAAGTCACATGACTCGAGTCCACACCTCAGAGGTGGGACAAAGTCATTGTTATGCAAGTCCAAGTCGAGTCTGAAGTCATCAAATTCATGACTCGAGTCTGACTCGAGTCCAAGTCACATGACTCGAGTCCACACCTCTGCTGAAAATACTTTATTAGTTATCATTAATAAACACCGTGTGTACACCATTGGAACCTCATTTGCCAGTAGAAAAATATGAGAATTGGTTTTTTACCCTTTTATCTGGCAACAAAACTGACACTTTTTTTTTACCAATTATCATATTTTTCTACTGGAAAATGAGGTTCCAATGGTGTAAATGCTTACCCCGAGCTCTCATACTCTGATGGTGCATTGTCTTTGAGTTGTGCGCCTTTTGGCGTCATCTGGTCCAACACCATGTGAGACTAGGCTCTAAGGAAAGCTTCTCGGGTGTGGACCAATCAACTTCAAGGACAGTGCATACATTATCAGAGTTATGTTTTTTGTTTACATTCCGACTGCAGGTATTGTGGTCTATGCAAACATGACTCCTTGTAAAAAAGGTGTCAGTTTTGTTGCCAGATAGAAGGGTAAAAAACCAATTATCAAACACTGTGTGATCGAGGGAAAATATATATGAAATACATTTTTGCTAAAACATTGTTCTTAGCATTAATAGCATCATAGAAAGCATTCGTGTTATTTTCTCTACTCTGGATATTGGCCACTGCTCAAAACCTTGGCTTATAGTGCAACATTCGCTAATGATGACAAAATAAAATCGGGTTCAGTCTGTGCTGCTACACCATTGCCGGAAATCTTATTTGTATTCAGTAATATTCCTCCGTGCCCTCTCTCACACCATTCCAAGGTCAGGATCTATTTTTTCATAATGTTTTGGCTCCTAATGAGAATGGTATAGCAAGAACCATTTTCCCGCTGAAACGCCGTCTAGTTCATATTTATGTAGAACTTTTTTCGCACACTACATAGCCAATTATACTAATCAGAGGTGCGGACAAACAAACCTGTGGACTTGTTTGTATGCTTGCATCATGGGAACACGCTACAGCTATGAGCTGTGGCTTACGCAAAGCAATTATTATTCAGGGAGATGCGTTGTCGGAGTCCGGGAGCGAATCGGAGAACTGGCGGGAGCGGAACGGCCACGACTCCTCATCAGGGACGGAGTTCCCCACGAGCGGCAGCAGCCCTAAGCGCAAGGCTAGCGTCAAGTCGTGTACGCACACTCGCACGCACACGCACGATGTCGTACAGCGCTCGTCCACACGAGTGAACGCACGCTCACACGCAATGCTGCACAGTGCTTGCGCACACAAACAAATGCACACTTACGCGATACTGAATTGCACACGCCAGCACATGGCACGATGACTGGTAGGCTTTGGTCATATCGCATACACCCTCGCACGATGCAGCACCACACACACAACATGACCACATGACCTGGAGACTTTTAGCATTGAGTCATTCCGTGTATACACACACACACATGCAATATCACACTGCACACACTTGCTGTACATATATTTTTTTATTTGTGTGTCTATTGCATAATTGTGATATTCAAGTAACCATTCAATTTGAGGGTTCCTTGGAAAAAGTTTATAACCCACATTTTAATTGTTCATGAAGTAGACCCTGTTTAGAATAGCCTCATTCAGTGGGAGAAAGGGTGAATTATTGTGCGGTCATCTGCGGGGAGATGATTAAAGCTATCAGAAGAGGATTGGGAAGTCTTCCAATGAAGGTAACACGTGTTATCGAGTAACTGAGTTTTGCCAGGACACCCTTCATTTGTACCAACATCGCAGAATGTTCTCACACTGGGAGTTTGCACATCGTGTTTTTGTTATCGCAGAATTCCGCATCTCCCATCCAACTCCTGTCAGCCATTGTTAAATATCAAAATCTGGCCAAATTTCAACGTAGCCCTGACGTTGCAGCCTCTTGTTATACCAGGCTTTCCCTGGAGACCTGTGCGCACGTTGCCCGCTGATGGCTGTTTGTTGGATGCCTTGCAGATGAGCACTACCTGAGCAGCAGTGGCTACATGGAGAGCATGCCGCGAACTCCCGCGGGCATAGCTGGCGCTGGCTGCTCCCTGGGTTCGGCCATCAAGGGGAGCGGCGGCAGCAGCAGCAGCAGCAGCAGCTCCGACCTTCCCGAGCTCTTTAGCAAACTGGGCCTGGGCAAGTACACCGACATATTCCAGCAGCAGGAGGTGAGGCCTGGCACCCGGTGAATCTTCCCCTCCCAGATGTACAGGTTTCCTTACGTGGAAATAGATGCGTTGCAAAAAAATGGCGCACAAAGCGAAACCGCACAAGAATGCTGCCTGCTGAGTTCCACATCCGACCACATAGCCGCGCACGAGTGAATTGAAACCGCATAGAGAAAGCTTTGGGTAGAAATAGGTTAGCCGCATGAATGTAAAAATCCCACATAGAGCGAGGGAAACCTGTACAGAAAACTCCTGGACATATTTTGAGAAGAAGAATATCTCAGAATAGTGGAAAAGGGGGGGGGGGGAACTAAATGTACATGCATTGTCTTGAGTGGTACATTATTATTACACAATGAACTAACACCAGGACAGATTTCCCAGTACAGCTGCCTCATCAAGAGGACTTCCTGGGAAAACCAGGACAGGTGGCAACCATAGCTGTATCTTTGTCCCCACTTCTAACAGTATCTGGACTTGGGTCCAGGGGATCTCAGAAACACACTGGGTTTAAATTAAAAAAGCAGGAGAAATATCTCACCTTATTGGAAGCAGAACTGTCCTGTTTTTATTATATAAGTTAATGATAAGGATTTGCATTTATCCAATACCTGAACTACTGACTTTCACATCTGGCTTCATGTGCTATGTTGGTGTTGTATGTTTATATATATATATACAGTAACCTCCAGACAAGAGCTGTCTGTAATCGGTTAGACGTATGTAGACATAGACGTTTGATTTAAGCTGCAAGAACCCGATGGGCTATGAAGCGATGTGTCACAGGCGTCCAGCCCAAAGCCGGGGTCAAACAATTGATGGAATGTATCACATGTCACTTATGTATCCTTCACGCATATTTACTATTTCTATGAAATGCACGTATTCCCAAAACATATTCACGATATAAATTACAAGGATGGATATCAGTGGGATGGATAAAAAGAAAAAAAAGCATACCATACCCCCGATTTTCATAAATTCTCACTTGATTAAACGGCACATTCAAACAAAATAAGTGATGTTTGCCTCCTCTCCCCGATCCCTCAAGACCACGATGCTATCTGCGTGGGCTCGGTTTGCCCTTGATTCTGTACTATTACATTGCTGTGGCTGTTTACCCAGCATAGACTCACCGAGTCTCATGACTCTTTTTCAGGAGGGTCCTGACAGCCTTTCTCAGTAGGGGGCAATGATTGCTATGCATAATCTAAATTGAGTAATTAGCAGTGTTCATTCGTTTCTTTGGCAAATTTGGACCATGACGCCAGCACACAGTGGCCTACTCACGGGATGTTTGTCATGCACTGCGAAGCAGATGGCGCGTAGTATTTTTGGTTAATGCACCCGCAATATTAAAACAGGGCAGCCGCTCAGTTAGAGCCATAAACCTCCACAACAAGCGGTAAATGCGCTCCTGCAAGGCCATTGCATGTATGCACCCTGGAGGTGTAGATGGGCATTTGTCTGCCACCGATGTGGTGAGGTCCACTGTAGACCACATCTGCCTCATCTCTCTCCACTTGCCCGCCACTCTGGAGAGAATGGGAAGTGAGTGGAGCGACGTGCAAGTGCAGCAGGCGGTGCTCAATCGTCCATTCGTCTCCAAGATGCAACATTTTCCAAACAGCTGCTCATCGCCGCAGGATGTTTTTAAGACAATATAAGGAGCTGGGGAAATGCAGAGATAACACCGATGACAACATTCCACCACTTTATTACATCAACCTCCTCCGTGTCGAAGCAATTGTTCCAAATATCGTGCATCATAATTGCGGTGTCACCCGTGCCACTTTGTGGGAGATTGAGCAAACTGGCAGCTCCTCAGAGTCTCATGTCACTCCTTTGCGAAGAGAATTGGCGAGCGAGTGTTAAATGCCGTCTGTGAGACGTAATGTATGCAATAGCTCCAAGCCACAACATTTACAACCTTGGCTCTCCAACACACCGGTGTGCTGTACTAGTGACGAATTGGCACGTTCTGTTTACGTGACAACCCTTACTAATTGGCCGTGTCGGGTGGTGGCGGGTTTTAATGACACATTTATATATTTACGCGATCAAACCCAAAAAAACCTCTATTATGGATGATATTGGTCACGAAAGCCAACGTGTATGCATATACGTTGTGGCGTTGAGATGAAGCGGCTGCTTTGCACGAAATTCGCCCCTGCATTAGCGGAGGCGGATGTGGGTGCGTGTGTGTGTGGGGGGTGCAAGGGTTTTCAGCCTTGCATGGCTTTGCGAGCAATTCCTACACATTGTGTAATAGCACCCGCGATGTGAACACGACATGTTATAGCCTATCTTGTTTGACAAGCTGCAAGCTAAGGCTTCTGTGGCTTGGAACATCTCTCCAGCTGTGGTCAAATCAATCCCTTTTGTGTGGTCTAATCCTATAGCATGCACAATTCAGACAAAATTCTGAATATAAATGGACAGCACAGCACCATTATATTATTTATGTGTTTTGCCTTTTTACACTTTTAGTTGTCATGCTATGACAAATTCATTTCCATTCACAGAACAGTGCATCACCCCATATTAAAGAATGGCCTGTTAAAGGCGATATCGCAGAACTCCTTTGGAGACATTTTCAGTTGCCTATTGTCCACACCCTGTGGCACATGTACTCACATGCCCTGCTATATATGTGCTCATCACATGACAATGAAACCAAACATTGTTTTAATAATCTGAGCTGGAAGTATGCCAGATTAATTAAAAACCGAATGTAATACGCGAGTTCGTTTTTTTTAGTCAGTGGTAACTGGGCTGAGACCATCAACTCACGACACTCGAGAACTCAGCTTAATCATCGCCAGCTGAAAACTGGATTTGAATCCAGGTTCTCAGCGGTGCCGGGTCAGTGCTCTGACCTGGTATGAGCCATCTGATCTATTCAGCTACCTCATCGCTCTTTTTCCCTGGATTTTGCAGATCGACCTGCAGACATTCCTGTCGCTGACCGACCAGGACCTCAAGGAGTTGGGCATCAGCACGTTCGGCGCTCGACGCAAGATGCTCCTCGCCATTTCCGGTGAACTTAGCTGGCATGGCATGTAGGGCCACTCCCCTATGTCCAACTTGCATACTCACTGGAAATCATTAACTTCCACCGAAAAACACACATATACATTTTTTGTAATTTAAGATATTTTTTTGTTCAAATAAAAATTGTGTAGAATTTGTAACGCGGCCAGTTTCCGCACGGAGGCGTGGGGAAAACCCCACAGACAAACGCGAAGGCAGCCAGAACCGGCACCATCAATTTCCCAATATCGGTGGTCCTTTATTTTGATCTTTGTCCAACTCTATTCATGAGTTTAACATGTAGGCTTTCACGACTAATATTATCCACCTGCCACAGTCAGTTAGTCATTGGCTGTGTGGGGGGGTGGCGGGTTTAACGACACATTTATATTTATGCAATAAAAACCAAAAAAACATTATTATCCATTAATGAGTGTTCATACCTGCGGGAGGAGACTGGAGCACCAGGAGGAAACCCACGTATTCGAGGGGGACAACACTCAATCTCAGTACAGATGAAAATGAATTCACTTGCTGCCATACCCTGGCAAGCCAGGAGATGGCAACCTAAATGCCCATGCATAGGGAGTTCCACCAAATATTACATGTTATGAAAATATTTAATTGGGAAGAACAGCAGTGCACTATAATCCCAGTGTCCTGGGTTCAATTACCGGTTAAGGCTCACATCAGTGGGGCGACCGATCCTGGTCACTCCTACCTTTACCAACCTGGATGGACCAGCGTGGTGATGTATGATAAATCAAACCCCCATAATGGACATGGAAGCCATCATCCAGCAGCATACTTTACAAAGAGTTGTAAATAATAATTATACATCTCATTGTTACGTGTTACTACCTCTCCATATTTTTCTTCTTGTTTCTTTCGGTAAAGTCACGTAGAAGGGAAGTAATAAAATAATAAAAATAAAACATAATAAAACAATTCTCACGACGTTTCGGCTACAACGCAAGCAGCCGTCTTCAGGTGAAGAATGAGACACTACCAAACTAGGAGCTTATATATAAGCTGCATTGGGGGTTGAAGAGCGCCTTAACAAAAAGAATGTGCATGTGAAGAGGAATTTAGCATATTCATGGAAAATGCGTAGGCGTTGGGCGGGGGGGTGTCAAAGTCATATTATGCCCATGCATTATGCAGGATCAGCAGCAACCAAGGGGGGTGCAGGGATTAGCAGTAACAAAGGAAAGGAATGTTAATGATATGTAGCTGCAGTTACTCAACAACCACGTAGAAAACTAAAGTATAAACTACATAAAAAACTAAAGTATAAACTGCATCGCACCATCAGTATACTTACTATACTCTATAATAAGCTGAGTTACTAACAGCAAGTAATACATTACAATTCTACCTCGTAAAAATTCTATAATATGCTTCCATCTAAACCTTATTCTCTTATATCACACGAGCATATACCGTACTATATACTGCCATAGATAAACCCAACATTAAATTATATACTGTATTGCTGTAAACCAACCTATATCTTATACATTTAATATAACACTATGTATTATTCTACACACCCTAATGTGTATCGAAATGGTTTATTACGTCCTTCCAATGATTGCTGAGCCAGAATCCATCTTCTCGGTTAAAATTGTCTCTGTGTTTGTATATGTGGATCGCCTCATGAACGAATCTCTCATGATAGCCAGATGGCTTGCAGAGAACCTCTGTCTTGGAGAAGTCGATATCATGTGAGCCCACTGAGTTGTAACAGTGATCTGCCACGGCTGAGGTGTTTGTCCTACCGTGTTTCAGGTCAGCTTTATGTTCACGGATGCGGTCCGAGACATGTCGTTTGGTTTCCCCAATGTAACTGCTACCACAGAGGCAACTTAGTTTGTAGACGCCAGGGTACTGTATGTCTGGAACCACATCTTTTACAGACGGTACCAGATCACGGATTTTATGTACTGTGTTGAATCGGACCTGGATCTTGTGTTTAATCAGGATTTTGGAGATCTTTTTTGTGACTCCAGCAATGTAGGGTAAGGTGATGGTCTTGAAAGGCTCCTCAACAGGATCCTTCTTGATGGTTGGAGTGATGGCTTTGCGGATTGTATAGTCGGAGTAACCATTTGCCTTAAGAGCTTGGCGTACGTGTTTGAGTTCACTGGAAATGTGTTCATGGTCGGAGATGCATTGGGCTCTATGATATAGAGTCTTGATGAGGGAATTCTTCTGGGATGGATGGTGGTGGGAATCCGGTTTTAGATAAGCATCCGTGTGGGTGGCTTTCCTGTAGACAGAGTGGCTCATTGAACCATCAGGTCTCCTTTTGATTAGGACATCCAAAAAGGGTAGCTTGCCATCATTTTCGACTTCCATGGTGAATCTGATGGCTGGGTGTATGGAATTGATGTGGTCGAGAAATTGGTCTAGAGCAGGCCGGCCATGTGGCCAGATGACAAAAGTGTCGTCTACGTACCTCTTCCATAAGGTCGGGCGTAGAGTGGCAGTCTGGATAGCGTCCGTCTCAAATTTCTCCATGAAGATGTTGGCTACAACCGGAGATAGGGGGGAGCCCATTGGGGTGCCCTCAATTTGCTTGTAGAAGGTTCCATTCCAGGTGAAGTATGTATTGGTTAAGCAGTGTTTCACCAGGGGGGGTACCCCAGCATTCAGTCCTTGATGAACCAAGTCTTCAATGATTGCGATGGTGTCAGGCACAGGTACCTTGGTGAACAAGGAAACCACATCAAAACTGACAAGCAGGTCGTCTGGGGACAGGGCAATCCCCTTGATTGTCGATACCAGGTCAGTAGAGTTTAGTACTGCAGAGGTGGTTTTTCCAGTGAAAGGCCGTAGGATTTCGGACAAAAAACGAGCCAGTTTGTAAGTGGGGGAGTTGATAGTAGAGACAATGGGACGAAGAGGTGTATCTTCTTTATGTATCTTTGGCAAGCCGTACAATCTTGGTGGTCTGGCTGCAGAAGGTTTCAACGAGAACTGTTTGGTCTGATCAATTAATGCGGTTGAAGCAGAAATGATGTTGTTGGTTTTGGAGACGAGGCTGTTGGTGGGGTCTCTTTTTATTTTTGTATAGCTGCCATCGTTTAATAGTTCTTGAATTTTGTTGTTGTATTCTATTTTGTCCATGATGACAGTGGCATTGCCTTTGTCGGCTGAGAGGATGACAATGTCATCCCTCTTTTTTAATTGAGCTAATTCAAAACGCTCCTCTTTGCTGATGTTGCTAGCTGGCATCTTAGCGTTTTTGAGGGTTACAGAGATTTCAGATCTTGCTACGTCTGCAGCGATGTGACTCAAGCCCTTGAGAGCTACATCTACTCGAGCAATTATATCATTAACTGGTATGTGTCTAGGTGTGACTGCAAAGTTTAGTCCTTTAGCTAAAACGGATTTCAAACCTTCAGAAATAGGACTGTTACTGCGATTAATTACGACTTTGTTAATATCTAGCTTTTCAATGTGTGGGTCCGGTTTCTTGTTTGAGAGGCGATTGAATTTGGAAATCAAGTTGTCCTTACATTTAGTCGACATAGCGGCAGCTGAAGAGGCAGTCATTTTTTCCACATGTTCCCAATCCGATGTGGACATTGTTACACTCAAAGATAAGTGTGATTTGTAGAGTGTCTTGTCTAACTGATCTAGTTCGGTGCGCGTAAGTCTGATTTTCTCTGAGATAAGAGCTAAGCTAGTTCTAGACAGAATTCGTTTCGCATTAGAAGAAGTTACAGCAGCAGATGTTAGTGTAAATGCGTTTGGTATTACCTTAGAGTCGCGGCATCTCTTCAGAAAGGTGAGAGACTCGATTAGCTGAGCCTTCTTATCCCGGAGCTTGTTGAAGGATCTCAAAGTTATGTGGAAACCCTCCCCGTAGAGGCGGTTAAATTTCGATTTAAAGCTTTCGTGACTGCAGGGATTCATCTTCTTGTTTCTTTCGGTAAAGTCACGTAGAAGGGAAGTAATAAAATAATAAACATAAAACATAATAAAACAATTCTCACGACGTTTCGGCTACAACGCAAGCAGCCGTCTTCAGGTGAAGAATGAGACACTACCAAACTAGGAGCTTATATATAAGCTGCATTGGGGGTTGAAGAGCGCCTTAACAAAAAGAATGTGCATGTGAAGAGGAATTTAGCATATTCATGGAAAATGCGTAGGCGTTGGGCGGGGGGGTGTCAAAGTCATATTATGCCCATGCATTATGCAGGATCAGCAGCAACCAAGGGGGGTGCAGGGATTAGCAGTAACAAAGGAAAGGAATGTTAATGATATGTAGCTGCAGTTACTCAACAACCACGTAGAAAACTAAAGTATAAACTACATAAAAAACTAAAGTATAAACTGCATCGCACCATCAGTATACTTACTATACTCTATAATAAGCTGAGTTACTAACAGCAAGTAATACATTACAATTCTACCTCGTAAAAATTCTATAATATGCTTCCATCTAAACCTTATTCTCTTATATCACACGAGCATATACCGTACTATATACTGCCATAGATAAACCCAACATTAAATTATATACTGTATTGCTGTAAACCAACCTATATCTTATACATTTAATATAACACTATGTATTATTCTACACACCCTAATGTGTATCGAAATGGTTTATTACGTCCTTCCAATGATTGCTGAGCCAGAATCCATCTTCTCGGTTAAAATTGTCTCTGTGTTTGTATATGTGGATCGCCTCATGAACGAATCTCTCATGATAGCCAGATGGCTTGCAGAGAACCTCTGTCTTGGAGAAGTCGATATCATGTGAGCCCACTGAGTTGTAACAGTGATCTGCCACGGCTGAGGTGTTTGTCCTACCGTGTTTCAGGTCAGCTTTATGTTCACGGATGCGGTCCGAGACATGTCGTTTGGTTTCCCCAATGTAACTGCTACCACAGAGGAAACTTAGTTTGTAGACGCCAGGGTACTGTATGTCTGGAACCACATCTTTTACAGACGGTACCAGAAAAACCACCTCTGCAGTACTAAACTCTA